GTCCTCGCGCACGCGTGTTAATTCATTGCACGCGTGGAATAAATTCCCGTTTGGGGTTAAATAAACAAGCGGAGTCCACGTATCCTTGTTGGTTCATTGATACCGCGCATACCTAGGCGCATGCGCAGTAACACTAAGTAGCGTGATAATGCCATTAAAAACTGGTTAGGCGTTATAACGTCACGGCGCAGCAACGTCGGCCGGAAGCCCCTTCGGCTTCTTAATCATCATCATAATCATTATTATCCTACACTCTATACCCCTCTTGCCCATTTTTTAGCCAGTCATCTTTCTTACCTGTTATACTCAACCTCCCCGCCGTAAACAAACTCGTACGAGCATACACCTACTACATGTGTTCAATTGTTAGCCATAACGAGAGGGAAGTTTACACAGGGAACAGTCATTGGCTGCCTGACTAATTAACTTGGACTAATCATTAATGTAGTCGGGGCCAAGGGTGCCAAAGTCTATAAATAAAATTAACCCGTCGGATCTTCCGTCCTTTCGCTCTGGCATTGGTCTACCGGCGATTTTCCTTCTCGTTCCTGCCTACGTTGAGAATTCGCCTGCACGAGGACGCGCCTTGAATCTGCATCAATGGCACGCATGTTAATGGGCCTTCGTGACTCGATGATCGGACCTGTAAGTATCTCCATTAAGGCGACTCCCTTCCAACGACCGGGCACGTCTTCATTGTGCCAGGAGATTCGACGTCTCTATGGCGGCGTCTTGGCGAGCTAACGGTATCTCGGAATCGAACGGTTTTAGGATGCCTGGCGCTCCTCTTCTCTAATTCATTAACGTCTCGAATAACGAGGCAATTCGCCACGTTAAAAGTTCTAGAAGGTTCGGCTGTGAATTCTTTAAGGGGGTCTTTAATCCGACGCTGCTTGACTTTCGCGTATATCGACTTGCCTTCCAGAACGGACTCGACTCGTTCGTGCGTCGTGCTCGAGGAAAAGGAAAAACCGAAGGGCGTCGCTCGGCAGGAAACCGGAGATGTTCTGGCGGAAACGGGTGGCGCGTAAAACGGTAACGGGAGCTACGCGGCTGTATACGAACGAGTGTCCATGGACTCCATGGAGTCTGGGCTAGAATAGTCAGAGGTACCGACCTGTGTGTTCTCTCGTTGTATCGCTACAGGAACTATATGCGCATATAACTATACACGTGAGAGCAGAGGGAAGACGATGCTGGGCGCCATTGGGGTGCATGCTAAATATAAAATTATACGAGTGAACTTGTGACCCTTGGCTGAGGGGCAGCAGGATCCCTCGGAGGTTATAAGATTATCCGGGATGGGAGAGAGAGAGAGAGAGACAGAAGTATAATGGGTCGGGAGGATATAAGCACGAAGTGGGATATAACGAAGAGAGGAGAAACTAACGATTATCCGCTGCGAAGTAAATAACGAGAAATATCCCGTGAAGATTCTTCTTCGCGCGAGCCAAACGACATCCTACGGTCCCATGGTAAGAGGAGGATGGACCAAAGTCTCTCGATATCGTTACACCACTCTGATTTTCTCTCCAGCCGTAATCTCGAGCTCGTTCACTGCTTCTACTAGACTTCCTCTCTATTCGATCTTCCTTTTTTCTTTTCTTCCTCTCTTTTTTCTCTTTCTTTTTTTTTCTTGCGGCTGCGTTTGAAGCGCGTGCCCGCACGCTGCCGTCCGCCATATGGCTTCCTACTGCGCTTTTCCTACTCGCTCCTCGGCCTATCCGAATCGAGCAATCCCTTTTATAGGTTGTCACGGCGGCTCCTTCGAAGCCCGCTCGAGATCCCGCGCAGCCTAATAAATATGACAACCCGAGACCTCGTGGAAGTGTTAGGCCCTGGGTCCCCCGTTAAGTCGCCAAGTGTGCCCAACCAGCAGTACGTCTGCTCCCTCCTTGGGACCTTCGGCCGCAGCCAGACCAATACGAGAGTTCGACAGATGGGGCCAGTTTCGTCTTTCGCAGACCTTTCCCTTTCCTTTCCTCCCATCGAGGCCCCTCTCGCCGCAGATGTCACTTTACCTACCGTTTACTGGCATCACTAATTATCCTAGGGACCCCGTTAATTGGCTCGCGAACCAAACCATCCAGACGGCTCGGTCCAGGGACGCCTTGGGGAAGCTGAGGGGAGAGGGAGGATTCTCACTTCATCCAAGTGCACCAGGAGCGAGAGAGAGAAAAAGAGACAGAGAGTGTCGGATGAAGATATAGGCTAGTCCCCAGAACCGGGCTATTCCCTCTCTCTCTCTCTCTCTCTCTCTCTCTCTCTCTTCCTCTCTTTCATCGTGGATCGTCAAGTATTCGTTAGGGGGATGGATGAACCATGGTCGCTATACGCACATAAAGATAGATGCGTCGGTTTCCGGTGTGTCGAGTTAACGACTCGGGTTTTATCTGTTTGCTCGAGTCCCTTTCGTGACCTCAAGGCACGCGGACTCGGCAGGGCTGCCAATGCCGTGTAGACTCATACACGTACACGTTCAAGGTGCGTCAGACCAATTCGGAGTTAATGCACCGACGTGGATACCCGAGTAGCGCACGTAGCGCAGGGATGGAAGTCAAGTGAGAAGGAGACGAGGGAAGGGAAGCTGCGGTATAGATCGAGTCATCTGGCACTCAGCAGGATTGAAAATAGAATCGGCGCGGGGTCCGGGGGGGCCGCAAAAAGAGCCAGTCAAACTGAGCCTGACGATGTTTTCATTGTAATTATGTCTTCTGTCCTCCTTAATTCGTGCCGCTTGCTTTTTCAACGGCTCCTCTCCTCTCCTCGCCGCCCCTCGCCACTCCACACCTCATCCGCCCGAGGAGGATGTGTCGGGAGGCCTAATTCCTCAGTCAGTCAGTCAGGTTACATCATTCCTGCTGAATGCCTAGAAGAGTAATCTGACCGGCGACAACAACAGCAGCAACAGCATCACCAGCCGGCTGGACCGGATTGTTCTTTAGTGGAATCAGGGTGAAGAGGACAGATTAAGTGTGCAGGGCAAAAGTCGATGACTAGAAGTCCATGAGAGACGATGAGAGAGAAGGAGGGAAAAACGGTAGAGGAAATGAGAGAAAATTAAATAGGTTCGAGAGAGAGAGAGAGAGAGAGAGAGAGAGAGAGAGAGAGAGAGAGAGAGAGAGAGAGAGAGAGAGAGAGAGAGAGAGGGAATAGCCCGGTTCTGGGGACTAGCCTATATCTTCATCCGACACTCTCTGTCTCTTTTTCTCTCTCTCGCTCCTGGTGCACTTGGATGAAGTGAGAATCCTCCCTCTCCCCTCAGCTTCCCCAAGGAGAGGAGTCCGTCATGAGACGAAGGGGGGATGGCGAGGGGGTCGAGGGGGAAAAGAACGCAATGCGACAACAACGTGCTCAGCCGAGCAGAAGAAACGCGTCGCTAACGAGCCGAATTCCGCGATGCTTTCCACGAAAGGCCGCCGACGATTCGACCGAGCAGTCGACTAGTCGAGCAGTCGAGCAGTCGAGCAGTAGTCGATTGGAGATCGCTAATTCGTCAACTGGGTACGCGGCCTGTTCGGTAGCTGTTAGCGCTTCCTCTGCGGCGCCTACTTGCCGCGGTAACCGAGATTTGTGGACTCTGAGCAAAGTCAAACACGAGCCAGCCTCTCCCGTCTCTCTTATCTTTGCTTAGCAAACTCACGGAGCACGACTAATATTTATACAGAGATGTACGCGGCAAACAAGCTTGCACCCGTACTCAAACGGGATAATCCTCAGCATCCTCATCAGCATCTGGTAGCACCTTAAGTGTCCTAAGCGGAAATGGTGCCCAGACCCGATTCAAGACCAATTGGTATCTGCAGTTGGGATTCTTCAATGGATTCTTCATGTTTACGTAAGCAGCCCGTAGATGAGATCAGAGGACTTTGAGGAAATGGAAGAGTTCAGCTAAATCGAGGACCCAGGTCGAGCTGAGATCTAAGGGCCGTGTCGAACCACCTGACGACGCTCTTTGTGGATGAGCGGAGAGTGGCTCGGAGAGAGGAAGAGCGAGACTGCGAGAGTGAGACACGCGGAGACAAGAGGATCTTTGAGGAGTCCCGAGAGACGGGAGATCTCGAGACACGCGCCATTTCATTGCGTCTCGAGCGTCGCCTGTTACCATCGCTCAAACGAGACGCAAAGAAGAAATGAAAAAAAGAAAAATAACAAAAATTCAAGCTGCCAGGGAGTCATGACTTATTCTCCTGGTTCTTCTGAACGTCTCCTTTGTCTGGACAAACTTACTCTGCTCGGACTGCTTGGCACCTTTTTTTAAGGCTTAATCCATTAAAAAGTGGTGCCGACACGTACGGCCCATTTTAGGTGGATTTGCCAAAATGGTTGCACCTACAGAATTCTGCGAGCCCCTTTTTCTGACAATGCCCCTAGCGCTAGGCTCATGCCCGAAAGTCCTGTTCAGGTCAGGCCCAACGTTACCACGATGAAGCTTGGCATTTACTTCTCTATACATAAATAGGATCACCGGCACGGCTTTCGCTGAATGGCTCCAGGACTTTCGGGGAGAACTGAAAAGTCTCCTGGGGTCTTCGGACCAGAATGCATTTCGGGCGAGAGAAGCTGAGGATCTGCTCGACCCATCCCGCTCCCTTAATAAGGTCTGCGTACGCGTTGCGGTGTCTTGGAGATAAGTTTGGAGGTTAGAGGGCTCGGCCTAATCCGAGACAGCACGTAATAAATGTTCCCCGGGACCCTCGTAAAGGGTGACATGTTTTCACCCCGAATGTCCCCCATGTCGTGCGTGTTTTCTATAGACTATATCCTCGTTACCCCAACTACAAGAGGGTGGCTCCGGACATTTATCATGAAGACTTTTCGGCCCGTTGAAGAATTCTTCCATTTTCAGTGTAAAAGCTCCAAATTGCCATGAAAAAAAAAAAAAAAAAAAAAAAAAAAAAAAAAAAAAAAACTAAAATAAATCACGGACAGAACTGGCAATTCCGAAATAGATGGAAGGATCGTTTGACGTTTCAACATTTTTTTTCTGACTCTTACAGATTATCCGGCAGCACGACGGCGATCGGCAGCGCCGCTGGTGGAAACGGCGGGGCCGGCAGTGGTAGCGGGGGCGCCGGAAGTGGCGGAGGCGGTGGAAACGCGACTTCCGGTGGCGATTTCTTACGCAGAAGTCACCCCCTCTCGGAGCACACGCCACTTCACCCCGCCTATCGGCTCAACTACATGGACCACATTTATCATCAGCTCCAGGCCTCCACGCACAGTCCCAACGCCTCGTTACACGGTAATGATCAACAATTATTTTGGCTCGATTAGAAATTCGGCGATTCGTAACGACAGCCAGAAACTGGCAGCATCTGCCAAATCTCCAGGATGCGAGTCAAAATGGCGTCGCTCCTTTTGCTTCCCTTCTGCTTTATGTTCCCGAGAAATCTCCAGGAGTGCTCTCGAGAATCCTATCGAATTACGCGAACGTCCCGCTTCTGGGATCCAATAGCGAACCTTCGTAACAGAGAAGAGGCCTCTTCTCTTGGGTCTCCGTGAGGTCGCAGCTATCCCTGTGTGCGTTGATGCGCATGGCCAGCGTCAAGCCCTGTCAAAAAGCAGCCCGCATTTCCGGCGGAAGTCTCTCTTCGAGTTCCAGAACCCTGTCTGCACCCATAGGCCATACTTCAATTCTCTGCAGTCGGCTCGACGACAGGAGACCCTTTCTTCTCTTTTCACGATTCGCTTTACTCTCGTCACCCCCTTATGTCGTCGTCCTCCTAGCTTGGACGTACCGGGACCCACCTAGGGTTCAGTAGATTTTCTTCCGGTTGACAGTCACATCGCTTAACCCGTACCTGCGGTACATTTTCCTATTGGGATGCTGACGAGACGATTATGGACCACTAATGATATTTTTTATTCTCTCGTTTCAGGGCTGGCTGGTTTGGGCCCAGAGTACCTATTGCACGCGGCAGGCCCCGCGAGCACCCTCGCATCCTCGGAATTCCCTTTTTCCATTGACGGTGAGTACCTTCCTAGTGAAATATCGACGACTGGTACCTAGTACCTGCGTTCGCTTCTAGCACTGCCAAGATGCTCCAGACTATCAGGATCCTATCGACGTGATCGATAAAAGTCCCAGAAGCGAAACCCGACACTGTGGCTTCGGCTCCTGAGGACCAAGGAACCCTCGAATTCGTAGCTGCCTCAGATCGACAATGTGGTCGCAACTAAATTCCCAGACACTTCCGTAAAACGATACCGGACACCCCGATGAACCGAGGCAACTCGGCTCCGCATCGTCTTCGTGGATTTTTCAAGAGGCTACAGGAACTAATCGTCAGGCCGATATTGGCCCTTAAAACCGCATAAAATCTTCGTAATATCTTTGCTCGATTTTTATCGATAACCTTGGAAAGATAGGATAATGCGAAATCCTGCTGTTGGCCGTGTAAGCCTGGCAAGTTGTTGGTTGCTGCCGTACAAAGCTAAACGGAGGAGTGAGAAAGAGAGAGAGAGAGAGAGAGAGAGAGAGTGAGAGAGAGAGAGCGGTAGGACGGGGTGGGCGGAGGGGAGGAAAGGTTGGTTGGCTAAAAGAGGACTGAAAGGGTAAACGGGGCCTCGTTAGCCGCCACCGGCGCATAATTGAATCGACTCGGAGCGACACGACCTCATTAACACCTTAGCGCCTACCCTACAGGTTGTCTCACGTTTCTTCCACCTTATACTTCTGCACTTACTACACCACCTTCCATTTCACTTAAGCTTCCAATTATCATGACGCGTTTATTCATGAAATTCAGTAAAACTTGATCCAGCGGAAACCAGTTGGTTCTCTCAATTAAATCGGCTTTAGCCAATCGGAAGGATACGTTGAAATTTATCGTGCAGAAGGGCGCGAATCTTGAAACCTCATATTTTTTTGTCAGTGTATAAAGTTCCAAGGAATTTCTGTTTTTTTTTTTTTGTTATTGTACAATATTATCAATTACAACGCAATCAAGGTTCCTCGATCAGGTCTTATCAATATTCATTTTCTCATTGATAAACATGCTTGCCCCATATCCCAGCCAAACGGATGGCTGTTTTTGAATGGTTCTGTAGCCCAGTGGCATGCACGCAGAGTAGCACCAGCAAACCGCGCCGATGGTAGCGGCCGATTGCACCAATTTACATGTCTCAATCCCATGTTCGCCCCGAGAGGAACTCCTTACCGAACGTGTAGGGCCAGAGGGTCAGAAGTGCTGAGAAGCCCGTCGTTCGCATATTCATTAAAGACTGCGACAACCAAGCCGAGCCAACCTCACCTTAACTCCTACGATAAGATATCTAGAGGGGAAAGAAATGAGCACAGAAACCAAGTCCCGACAAGGGACCAATCGAATCGACCAAAACTGGAGGCGAGGAGTCCAGGAGTCCAGGAGTGCCAACATGGCGGGATAAGAGGAACGCTTCAGGAAAGAGGAGAACAATTTGATAAGTCCTCGAATTAATAAGCGACGATCAGGATGGAGGAGTAAATGAAAATAAAAGTAAGCGTTGGCGATAAAGAGAAGGAAAAGAGAATGAAAGAAAAAAAAAGGAAATGAAAGCAAAAGAGAAGAAAAGACAAAGTTGGCCCGCCGCGAGTAACCTTATACCTGTTATACGCGAGGCAGAGCAGCCAACCGAGCGTAAAGAAGAGCGAATGAACGAGTGAAGTTCCTCCGGGGGCTGCTCCTTGTGTATCGCGTTCCATGGCTTAAGTATTCAAACCACCTCAACCACCGGTGCAGCTCGCTTTAGCGTTCGCCTTTAACCAAGTGCCTCGTGCATTACGTGCCCACGTTCTCGGGCTGCGGTCGCAGGAGGCAAACGCTGCGAAAACGTTCAGGCCGCAAGATTAATTTTCACACATTTTATTTTATCTTCTTGTCTTTGCTTCTTCGACACGTTGCCACGGCAACGTCCGAGCAAATTTTCGTACTTTTAACGGAGTTTGAAAATTGGACATTTTTATTCCACAAACGATGATCCAATAGACACGTTACCAGTGCAACCCTAACCTAGAATCTTCTTTGTTTCAGCATCTTCGAGGCTAGGGAGTCCCAGGGCGTCGGCTTCAGCCATCAGGGCAAGTCGAAAAAGGGCCCTGAGCAGTTCCCCGTACTCGGACCGATTCGATATCGACAGTATGATCCGATTCAGTCCCAACAGTCTCGCCTCGATCGTTAATGGATCGCGAAGTAGCAGCGCCAGTGGCAGTTACGGCCATTTATCAGCCGGTACGTATTTAATCCGCTGCACGAACTTTTAAAAGATGCGGAACTTTCGAAGAAATAATACAATCGATCTGATACCCATGGAGCGACCCGGCAAAAGCATCTCCGATGCTCCGAAGACGAAAATAGGAGGCCCAAGAAGCGGTGGCCGGTACATCGAAGTGCCGAGTCCCCGGTACGGGGCTCCCGACCCGTCCCCACCCGTCCCCACCCGTCGACGTACCGCCGAGCACGGGACTTGGGCCTGCGTTAATTTCCTATTGAATGAAGTAATAAACGCTTTGAAATTCAAGTCGCGTCGTTCGTCACCGAAAGATCCCGGGGTCGTTTGGTCGCTCGCTTGACGCGCTTTACAGCGCCTTTCGTTTCCAGCGGACCGAAGCTCAGATTATTCTTAAGCGCCTGGCTGACTGTGAATTTCTAATAAACTTATCCTCGGCCTCCGATAAATATACTGGATGCTTGCCTGAATCGTGAGATAAGTGGAAAGTACCTACCCAGTAATGAGGAAGCTGCATCTCGAAATGGCGACTACAGACCTAACGTTCTCAATAAGATATTAGAATGAAGCCGGCAGCGAGTAGCCCCAGGCGCATTCCAGGTTGTCTTCTTATCCAAGTGTAAACAGGCCGCGGGAAGTAAGTGGGACAAATAAATGAAATAAATCGAAACAAGAAAATCGGGTAGTCAGGTAAGGCGTAATCCCGAGGAAATAATCACGAGCGCGGTGCGTATCGATGTGCGCGGGAATTTTAAATTGAACAACTTGATACGAGCCTCGACCCCGCTTATTTGCCTGATCCAGATAAACGGCAATCACGCGCCTACTCCCGTATGCACTCCCTACGTCTGTAATAAATAAAGCGTGCGAATCCCGTGGGTGGATGCCCCTTTGCACGGACAGCAGGGATGCCAACCGAACCAGGAAGACACGTAGGCACCTATCGAGATTGGCAATTCCGGGAGATTTGAAAGCCGTCGGCACGTTGCACGTTGCACGTTGCACGTTGCGTGATGCACTCGCCTCCCGGGGACTGAACTCACCTGCAGTTGCACCAACGTTCATTCGCGAAATGACCGGCTGACGCTCCGCTGCTAATCGCTAAACGTCTCTAGACACGCAATGACGCAATTGCACCTGGGTTGCATCCCATCATCCGCGCACGCACATGCGCACGTGTATTCCTGAGCAGGGGATGAGTGGAGAGGGCGCAGTCGCAGCTTCCAAATATCTCAATCGCCCCGCGCGAATGCAAATGGACCAAGAGAGGAGGGACGCATCTCAGATCTAAGGAAGGTGGAGAATCGAGGAGGCAGGCAGCCGTAAAAGATACTACAGGCCGGGCATCGTTAACGCGTCTTAGCTACCGTTCACTGCGTCATCGTAAAATGCAGCTGACGATGCGCTCCGAATTTAAAGCCGACTCCCAGCGCTCCAATGATAATACAGTCGAAGGAAGATGCCTTGCTCGCCATCGTACTTATCATTCCGATATTAGTTCTGGGATCTATCGATGGAATATCAATGCCTTAGGTGTCGAATGTCAAATGCATCCAGGCGCTTGGCAGCGCCGCCCCTGTGGACGCGGCAGCGTCAGGAAGCTGTCACCGGTCGGGGATATTCCTTAAGGACGCGACCACGTCGGTTGACTGACAGGGCATCGGCGTTTCGATTAAGATTACAATGTGGTGGGGGGTGACCGACCCGCTCGCCCGCTCGCAGAGTCACGTCACGTTACCTACGCACAAGATAACCATATTAGTCCCGGTTGATCTAGTCATAACAATTAATGTCGCTGTACGACGCTCGTGTACTCTGGCGGATGTCTTGGGTAACAGATAAGGGCTTCTGAAAAGTTAACGCTCGCTGCTTTTATTTTGCGACTCGTTACGATACCGTGTTGCGGAAATGATCGGGGAGTTGCATGAGGCGTGCAGAAGGG